TATGCACACACACACACACACGTATATATGCACACACACACACACATACATGCACATTCACATCCACCATCATAGCCTAGCCTGTACCTTACCTCATACATGCTTAGAACATTTTTCATTAGCCTACAGTAGGGCAAAATCATTAACACAAAGCCTATTTTATAATGAAGCGTTGAATATTTCCTGTAATTTATTGAATAATAAACTGAAAGTGGAAAACAGAATGGAATTGGAATACCCAATGTAAAGTCAAAATATAGTAACATGGACCATTGTAACGAGGGGAGCGTCTGTACTTGGATTTCACAGCTCTGCTGACTTGTAATCCGACACCCAGTAGGGGTCAGCAGGGAAGACAAACTGTCATTCGTTCTCTGTCACAAGTGGTTTTCTCCATGGTTCATTTGTCTTAACAATGTCATTTTTGCTTAACAATGAACAGTAGAATGTGAAGCAGTGATCAGGGATGCAGTCTTTGTTCCATTTCCTCCTTGCACTTTCTCTGCTCATTACTGACCAGCAGGTGGCACCACTGACCTCAGAACCTTCGTAACATCTGAATATCGGGCTTTGTGCAAAGGTGACGTTATATACATTTGACTTAGGACCTTCACAAGCAGGCAGTTGTACGTTTCTAAAAAGAGTTTAACTGTATTAAGACCAACATATAAATGAAAAAGACATGAACTTATACATTTATAGTTTATGTTGCTTTATTTACATTTAATCATGTCACGTAATGATGTTGAGAAATATGTTAAGGGTGGACACAGTTTGAAGACGGAAAATATACTCATACATGCTCATTTCATTATCATATACTCATTTTCTACACTAACTGATATGAAATAGCAATTTGAGTTAGACTTGTCTTATTCTGTGGTGCGATTAAGTAATTTATTCCAGGGTAAAGTTCTTATTTCTTCTCTGCCTGAGAATTTTCCTTGCAGCCCAGCCAGTATTTAGCAATGGATCGTGGGTAGCGAGGGTTCGCATAGTCCACTCTTTTGGTGTGCAAATTCACTCTGTAATATTTATCTGAAAACAACAACATCAAGAGAAAGTTGAGAAAAATAATGAATAAACAAGCTGTGATAAGTGATACGTTTCCAAACAGACACAGAATGGAGTGTGATAAATATGGTTTGGTGATAAATTGTTTTTATTATTATCTGTCCATCTTACATAACCATCCAGTACAGGCAGCACAAGGAAGGGATTTCCCCTGAACTGGATGGCAGTCCATGAGGTAGGCCAGTGTTTCCCAAACCAGTCCTCGGGGATCCTCAGACAGTCCTGGTAGGAAGCTGGGAAGGAGCAAGAATGTGGACCGTCTGAGGGTCCCCAGGACTGAGTTGAGAAACACTAGAGTAGAGGCCGGGATCCCCTAAATTATAAGATACACACACATAATGGGTGATTTAGAGACACCATTTTGCCAAAGGTGTTGCCCAGCATGTTCAGAAACCCTATAGAATCCCTGAAATATAGGGAGGACTTTGTCTCAAACCGCAGGGGTTGGGGGTTTGAATCCCATCTCTGCTGTGTGTGTGTGTGTGTGGTCCAGGTATACTTTACCTTGTGGGAACCAAATGTCCCCACAACATGATGAATATCCGTTATTTTTACTTTATGGGGACCAGTTATGGGCTGATATTTATGCCACTAGAAACTTGAATATGAATAGTGTATATTTGAATCTGCAGATGTTGCATTAAAAAACTGAATCTGAATTTATTAGTTTGAATCTGAATTACATTAACTTGAAACTGCATTTATCCTAACTAGAAAATTTTCAGTCCGCAAATTCAATTTCAATTTATTGAGACGCACATCCGGGTCCTTGAGGAAAAGTAATCGACCACAGGTTCACAACGCGACTCATTTCCACGTTCACGACAGTTCTGCAGGTCGGGTAAAGTGGAAGCGTGTGCCGGGGATCACCACAGATCTCACGGTCAATACAGTAGCGCTTTAATTTCTCCACTTTGAGCACTGCTTATACAGATCACCATATTAAACGCCAGTTCAACTGATGCTCCTGGTTATTAGCACAGTAGACAGACCGCTGTAGACAGACCAGAAGCATAACACTTCAAACCCGCTTTATAACTTTACATTTAGATCCATACAGGGGTACGTGTATCGATGCACTCGCATGTTGTGTTTTTTTTCCATGCCAGGAGCCGCTTGTGTAGATCTTCAGATCCAACCCTTATTGTAACAGTGAGGTTACAGCCAAGGCTGGACACCCTGCAGAAGTGTGTCCAATACTGTTTTACACTACTTTTTATACATTTTCTTATCGTGTAACAATATCTCGTCACTTAAGCATCATCATTTCTTCGACCATTCACCATCGTTGTTTTCTCCTTTGATCCACACCCCTAGGTAATAAGTTTGTCAATCATCTCTTACTGTTTGGTCCCTCGGCTGAACATACTGGTGGCGTGACCATCTTTAGCTGTTTTTTTTTTAAATACCCAGCCGTGAACTTTTGATGAACTCAGGCGAATCCCTTCCTTCAGTAGCAAACCATGGCAACTTCAGCTTGTTGCACATTGTCTGGCTAGATGGTTAATAATATATTTGTCCTTCAACATAGTGATGAGCTGCAGCACTTATAAAGTACATATTCATACATCAAAGGCTAACAAAATAGCTAACAGATACAGAAACTTTTAAGCCAACACAAGGTGCTAATTCATACTTGTTTTTCCCCACATTGTGCACAGCAGTGATTGGTCTGCATTCTCTGAAGGTTACAAAGTCACTCTCTGCACAGTTTACATCAGCTTCTTATAGAGTCCTAATGATTACATTCTCTCTACATTATGAAGTGCTAAATAATATTCCATACTCGCATATTAGAAATTAATACTGACTTCCGCCTCATATCGGCGAGATGAATATTTTAAAAGATATTTAGCACAAATACTGCTAGAAAGCCACATGAGATGAACAGGTGAGCCATAACTTAAACTAAACTAGAAGTAAAATTCATATCCCTAGCTAGTTTTGCGTTAGTCTACCATATTAACATAAACTAGCAGTGCCAGAAATCGTTCATTTGACCACATATACTACCATACTAACCAGACCAATGGTTAATGTTTATGCTATCGCTTGTGTATATAAAGCTTATTCTCATACATGTCATAAGGTAATGCAGACCCGCAGAACTGTCGTAAACCTGGAAATGAGTTGCGTTGTGAATCTGCGGTCGATTACTTTTCCTCAAGGACCCGGATGTGCGTCTCAATAAATTGAAATTGAATTTGTGAACTGAAAATTTTCTAGGTAGGATAAATGCAGTTTTAAGTTATTGGAGTTCAGATTTAAACTAATAAATTCAGATTCAGTTTTTTAATGCAACTACTGCAGATTCAGAAATACACTATTCATATTCAGTTTCTTGTGGCACAAATATCAGCCCATAGCCAGTTTCCTGGTCCCCATATGAGAAAACTCTATTTTATAAAAATCCGTGAATTTTATAAAAAATTTTCCCATATAAATGAATGAGCCCACAAAGATATGTTTACACGACTGTGTGTGTGTGTGTGTGTGTGTGTGTGACAGAGGTTTTTGCATGTCCTCCCTGTGTCACATGAGTTTTATCCTGCATTGCCAAGGCAAGCAGTTAGGCTAATTGGTGTCTCTAAATTACCAATAGTGTATGATTGTGAGTGTGTGCATATAGACATGTCATAAAACAATGGGTTTAAACCCCCCCGATCAGTCACATAGCCAGGTAAAGTTACGAGTGTGAACCCGCTCCCCGGGAGTTGTTGGACCCTGTTTCAGGCTAAGCCTTAATGTGTGGAGGCGTCTCCCCTGCATTGGTCTGATATTGGGTCGACATTTTCGGTTTTTACCTTCCTTGAAGAAGTAGACGTTCTGCACTGGTTGGCGCGTCTGCTCGACCTCGAGGTCATCTGTGTCCCACATCCCATATCTGTAATCGAAATAATCATAGTCCTGCACTGGGAGGCGCTGTCTCCGGCCCTTCTTGCCTTTCTTTCTCCCCCGTCGGCTGCTCCTGGTGAACCGTCCCTTGGCCAAAGTTGGGGCTTCAACGGAGGTCGCCGAGAGCTCTTGGGTGGGGGCAGCACTTAGGTAGAATCGCCCCATCATCACAGCATCCACAGGGCTCTGGATGCCCACCCAGTCCTGATTGATTGGACGGGGGCCAAGCTGATGTCCTTGGACTGGGTGTATAACAGAACACCATAGCATGGGTCAAAGGTCATAGGTTAAAGGTTAATCCTGTCCTCAGATACAGTGACTGAATCTCAATATGTATACTTGACCGTACTTGTGTTCTTGTGTACCCATTTTACGTCATCTTCAACTGTCGAAGACCAGTTCCAATACTAATAACACAAGTACAGAGGATGGTAAAAATCCGTGGATGTCGTTCTTGCTCTGCTCTAAACATCAAGGATGCATCGGTTGCATCCTCGCAGAACGAGACCAATCCCATGATTCCTTGCGCCCCAAGTTAATTCTTGGAAGGCAAGTTAACAAGACCGGTCTTCCCAAGACTACAAGTATGGTCTTTGTGTTCTTGATATTGAGATAAGCCCTGTGGCTGTTGTGGTAGCACAGCTCCTTCTATAGCTTCCTTTTAAATTATAAATCCTTTATTTGTCATTTGCACAAGTACACTGGAATTCTTTTCCTCGACTACCATATCTTGCTCTCCATAGTTTGGAGATTCCAGTGCAGGGTAAGCCAATGTCCGGCACCCCAGGAGCTGGGGGTGAAGGGAATCATTAAAAGCCCCACGGATATATGACTGCTCTGCCAAGGCTGGGGCTTAAACCGGCAATCTTCTGATCACTAGTACAGCGACTTCACCGTCTTATCCCACACATTCACACATGCAGGGCCCTTACAGCCTTGGAACAGCATGCTGAGCAGCTCCTCCCACTTGTCACAGTACTGGTCGGCGAAGTTGGTGAAGAGAACAGATGGGGCGGCCTTGGTCATCTCCGCACACTCCTTGTGGGATGGCTGGTTCTTGAACTCGTATTGATAGTATTGGTCACCTGTGAGCGCCATTGCATCAGACATTATGTTGAAACACGTGTGGCAGTAACTATAATTCCTCTTTCAGTTAAAAAATGAGAACTGGCTAATGCTTGAGGACAGATAAGGTATGAGGTTGTACTATAGTACCAGTCAAAACTTTGGACACGCCAAGACGCCTACAAAGTGAGTCATTTCACATGACCTGGCCACCTGACCTAAACACAGTAGAAATGGTTTTGGAGGAGTTTGACCACAGACTGAAGGAAAAGAGGCCAATGAGAGCTCAGCATATCTGGGCCCTCCTTCAGAACAGCTGGAAAAGCATCCCAGGAGGCCACCTCACGAAACTGGTGTAGAGGAGACAGTAGGGTCAGACAGTTCCTGGAGCAACTGGGGCAAGAGCCTTGGTCAAGGGCCCAAGGCAGGATCACTCTATAATCTATATATATATATATTAGTACAGAGGATCCCGAGTTCAGAATCCAAGATGGCTGCGCCCTTTATCAACAGAAGGGGAAGTTGTAAGTTTTATACTGTTTATGCACTACTTCTCATTTGTGGCTCATTAAATCTGTTGCACACACTATACCGTCCTACTTATCTGTGAACATGCTGCTACGGAGTTTTATACGTAAAGCACGGCACGTAATGTGTTATCAACTGATTTTGTTAACAATGGCAATTAACCGGGCTAGAATTGGATTTCATGATTAGTCGGATTATTTGTTGGATTTACGGTAGTTCGTGCTAATTGTAAGTGAACGAAGATAAAGACCATTTAAACTGAGGTACCTTAAATCCGACAAGTTGTCCAGCTAAGCAAAAAATCTTGCTTTTTGATATGGGTCCATGGTATTGCACTTCTGTGGCAGATGGAATGCATCCGACTCGTGTTCAAGATGTTCAATAGACATGTTAAGTGCATAGTCTGTTCGCTCATGCAAAATGAAATGTGATTAATATAGATTAAAAATGAATGATATTTAATAGTGATTAATCGAAATTAATCCACAGCAACCCTGTGATTAATCTAATAAAAAATTTTAATCATTTGACAGCACTAATATATATATATATATATATATTCTACAATGCAGATAATAGTACAAATAGTAAAAACCTTTCTATGGATGTGTCCAAACTTTTGACGGGTACTGTACGTAAATCACTGCTCTTGCCATATCTAAACGGCTCCTTTCTGATTATGACAGAGCTTACTGTGTTTACATTCATTCATTGGACTGGACACACAAATCACTTCTCTTGGTTCATCTTGCCCTAGCTGTCATGCAGACATGACATAGGTGTGCAGTACCCTTGAAGAAGTAGACCTTCTCTTTGCGACGATACCCTGGTGACGGAACTGCAAAAGCGGCATCTACATCATCAGGGATGTTACTGAATCCAACAGAGATGTCCCGGGGGTAATCCTCATCCAGGACATCGCCATCAAACCGCCAGTATTTGTTGCCCTGGGTTTGGGTGGGTGAGAGTTAGGGAGCGTGTGAAAATTCACTCACAGCATTTGTTACATTCACTACAAACACAGATTCGACCCCAAACCATTCAGGTTTTAAGAGACCAAACCTTGAAAATGTAGGTTTTCCCCTGACAGTTGATGCGGGTGAAAGCAGCATTTATGGGGCCTTCGATGCCCCACACATCCTTGATGAGCTTGGGGTACCCGGGCATTACTGCCTTGTCATCCAGCTCAAAGAAGTACTCCCCTGGAGAAAGGCAAGGCACAGTAAGAGACTTCATCTCTCCCACAAGTATTTAGCTTGTTTTGATCCATCAAGTTCCATATTTCACCAAGACTCTGGTTAGGATTCCAGTCAAAGTCAAGATTCAGGATTCAAGATGCCTATTTGTCATATGCATGAACGCAGTGGTATGTCAGCAGTGAAATGAAATTGCAGCTATTCCAGACTGTGCAGCAAACAAGGCAGAGGATAACAAAAATAAAAATCATGTGAGTTAGCAAAATAAGTATTTAAGAAGAAAGATAAAAAAGATATTAAATGCTATTTGAGAAAATATTTAAAGTGCAGGTTGCAGTTGTAGCTTGTTTTACTGTTTATTTGGTGGTGATCCTAATGGCTTGGAGGTTTAAGCTTCTTCTCAGCCTCTCGGTCCCGGCCATAAGGCTCTGGAGGAGGCTACCTAAGCGTAGCCAATGGAAGAGTTGATGGCATGGGAGCCGAGTGTCTTTGATAATCACTTATAGTGCCTATTTTTTTCCAAATCAACCTTGCAGATTGCAGTTCCTCACTGCAAATCAGCATCTGTCTGCCTGTTAATTTATACATTCTGCACAAATTATAGTTCCACAATATGTAGTAATGATGGTCAAATGAAGCTTTATGAACCATTTTCTCTATTTTTTGACCCCACTAGATGGCACAGTTGGTTTGCTTTGGGGCATGAATTGAAGCCTTTTTGAATAGAGAGCACCATCTAGTGGTGTCAGAAAATACAGCGATTGGCTCATGAAGCTTCATTTGGCCAACACTAGTAGGTCAGTGAGCTTGCCTGCACTCACCCCTGAATGCATAGATGGATCCATTCTTGAGCTGCATGAAGGCGTCAAATGGTCGGCCACTGCAGGTGGCAGCATCCGGGTCCGGCTCACCGGGGGGAGTGATGGCCGGCTCCTCGGTGACGGTCACATTCTGCTCGTCGCTCTCCTCATCAGGGCCCGCAAAGGTATCACCCCTGGCTGTGCAGAGGAGCTCTGTTGGGGTAATTCTGTCCTCAGGCACAGGGAAGCGAGCGGACAGGCGGCACGGCACGGCGTCCGCAGGGCTTACACTTCCCGCGGCACGTCTCCTCGTAATCTGTGCAGCAGCTGCTGTAGAACTTGCAGAGGCTGTCGCATTGGCACTTTATGGTTGCGTCAAAGCCTTTGTCGCAGCGGCCCACACAGGACTCTGAGGATGGAAGGGGCCAAAGACCTCACGATCACCCCACATGCTCTGCCCCGAGAACTCACATGCCCCAAAGGGGTGTTAGGTTATCACTAATTATTCTCGTTAATATTAACAACAGTGTGTACATTTGGTATACTGTTCATAAGAATGTATCCCAACCTCCTAGGCAAGACAACCAGAGGTGCAATAAAGAGGGGAAGTTAGGATGATTCCAAGGGGCCCTAAAAAATTTGGAACATAATTGGTTTGGTCTGGGTTGGGGGTCCAATATGATATGCTTTCTTGGGGCCCAAAATCTCTAGCGGGGCCTACGCTCACAGGACCTGCACATGGGCCACTATCAATCGCTACAAACTAATGAAAAAACAACCAGCTTCGAATCATGTCTGTTGGTTAATGAAAGGTTGGTCCCTCTGCATGAATTATGTCCCCTCAACCAGGGCCGTAGTCAGCTATGAGGCCACTGAGGTCCGGACCTCAGTAATTTTTTAAGAACTAAAAATAAAATTTGAAGCTAAATATTCATATGAATTGAAAATTAGGCTAACTAATGTTTCACATAGCTAATTAATAAAAATAAACAGCTTATTAATGGGATGGTATCATTAATGTGATTGTCGAGACCCACCCCCCATCCCTGGGTCCCGGACCTCTATTTTTCACTATTTTTCCAAACCCTGCTTACGGCCCTGATTGTAGCAAGTAATTCCAATAAATTGAGCAATTTATTAGGAATAACAATACAGTAGCCCATTAGTAAAGATAGACCAGCAAATAACATAGTTTAGCAGCAAGTAACATTGTATCAGAAGGTCCACAGTCAGCCAAATGCCCCAGCTGGCCAATCAGAGCTGTCCTACCTTCTGCGGCTTGAACAACGGCCAGCACCGCGGTCAGGAAGATCAGCACCGGTTTCATGCCTCCTGTCCAGGCGAACATAAGCATGAACTGGGCTCTCAGGGCGACGGGAATGGGAATAAGATCGTCTGCCCTGTCAATCGATCGCTCCCAAAGTCACTAACCTCCCATTGTTTGCTGTAGGCTGATTCCCACATTTCAGGAAAGTAATCATTAAACTGACCAAAGTGCAGCTTTGTCTGTAAAAAATAGGATTTGTTTTATCCAATATTAGATAAAAATATATTGGCTATCAGTGGATATTTCTGATGCAAAAATATGGAGATGCAAGTAAAAAAATGTATTAATTGATGCGCTGAATGTAACTGAGGTACATCTCTTTTTCTACACTTCCATGCAACTTCCAAGTTAACGCCGGTGTTTGTGGTCAACCAATCAGCAAGCTGTCGCTGTAAGAGCCTCCCTAGTAGTTTGTGTTTGAACAAAAAGTACTTAGTCTGGAGAATTTACTAAAAAAGGGTTCTGGGACTGCCTCCAAGGAACTAAAATCAGGCTGAGTTCCTGCAGTATGAATTCATCAAAAGCCCCTGGCTCTGGAAAAAGGTTCCGGTTCCAGAAAAGAAAAGAAGGTCATTTCACACTGTCCAAAGCAAAAGAGTCCAATGGAAGTTGCTTTGGATGATAGCATCAGCTAAACAGCAACATAATGACAGTTACAGTGAGGGGAGTCGTGGCCTGAAGACACTGGGTCTGGTCCAAACTGCCAAGAGGGGACACCACAACCGAGTGACACAGCCCTGAGATGAAGTCTGAGGGTTGCTAGCACAATAAATATCGTATTTTCAAGAGATTCCAAAGATTTTTGGAGAAAGCCAATTTCCCAATTATCTTGGGCTAGATGCCAGATGCAGAAAAGCTGCCACTGCATTATTTTTGTATTTGTATTATTTGGTATTCATAACAGTTTGTATTTGTTGCCTTTGTGATTTTTTTTGTTAAACTTTCACGCTGCATTCAAATTCAAAATAAAAAGAGAGACCTGTCAGGAACTGTCTGTCATTTTCCTGTTTAGCCAGCAGGTGTCACTGGTCACCCTGTCCCTTCCTAATATGTCAATCACTTGCACCTGTCCCTTGTTAGTTTTGTATATATGTGTCGGCCCTTGGCTGATTCATCATTGTTGTCGGTGTAAGTAATGAGAGTGCTTGATGTCGATCCCAGACCCCTATTTTTGACCCCTCATGGTCCTTTATTTTGTTTCATCTGTATTTTGGTTTATAATAAATCCCCTTCAGTTAACCCAAAGGTTGCATTTAGATTGTTCCCCCATTTCATTGTGACAAAACGTTTTTTCCCCCCCTGGAGATGTTCCATGGCTCTGTGGGTTAGGACCCTGGGTCTGTGATCAGAAAGTTGTCGGTTCACATCCTGTGGCTAGTAGAGTCCATACTACTTTGACTCAGAAACAGTGCGTGAGTAATTTGAACACTTTAATACCAGTTGAAACCAGCTGATAAATTTTACTGGTTTCTCCTGGAACATATGCTCCTTCCTTATAGCACTCCTCCTTTTCAAGAAGCGTGTTTCTTCAGGAGGGTAAAGCTGGCATTGCGACATACAACAATAACTCACATTATGAGGCCAGTGACAGGGATTAGCAGGTCCATATATAACATTTTTATATGAAATAAGCTGTCATCATAAGTTTGTTAGTTCTCATATGTATGCATAAAAATTATCTTCTGTTAAACATTAATCTTCCCCAAAGGTTATAAAAAATCGCCCTGTACCTCCACATTTGGGCATGAAGGAATGTTACACAGAGAAAATGCATTCAGAGAACAGTGCAGGTGTTTGAAGTTCACCTGATCAGGCAGGAACAGCCTCCTGTTCTCTCACACACAGTGGGCTGTTGCTGCCAACACGTTAACCTGTTAGACTCAAATGATCAGCACAACCACGGCAGGCTTTTGTTTTACATTCTATTTATTTAGTAGACAATTTCTCAAAAGCAGTGAAGGGTTTGACAGTCCCTGTAACATCTGAAGTTATCGGCCTTGCATAACAGTGACATCACTCTGCCGAGTTTGAGATTGAATCAGCAACCATCCAATCACAGGAACGGCATCCCAACCCACTGAGCAACACATTGCCTCACATTGTTGTTGTTTGCACCTTCGCATTAAAACCGTAGAACAGTTTTAGACATACTGCCATGCAGATGTACATGTCACAGTCACATGGCTGACATTTGCATAAAACATGCGACACCATGTAAAACATGCCTGAGATGTCAGGCAGATACCGTGCATTTCAGCAGCACCGGCACCCCGCTGATGTGGCCATGTGTCCAGAGCTTGGCCTGAGTGGTCGCAAGTTTCAGTGCAATTCTTTCATTTGGGTCATTTTGATACATCGACCCAACGTTACATCATCTTGGACGGGCAGAGGAGTCAAAGTTTAGCTTTAACAGCATTTTGCATTTTATGTGGGACTTGTAAATCGCCAGTATGTTTTTCACAAGGACGGAAAACTACTACTAAATGGTAAAAAGACTTTTTTCTTACACGCTGAATTGCATCAGTCTTTAATTTCTATCATTCATCCACCAAAGAAAGCAGAATTTTATGCAAAGCAGCATTTTACAGAGAAGTCTCTCTCTCTCTCTCTCTCTCTCTCTCTCTGACACACACACACACACACGCANATATATATATATATATATATTCTACAATGCAGATAATAGTACAAATAGTAAAAACCTTTCTATGGATGTGTCCAAACTTTTGACGGGTACTGTACGTAAATCACTGCTCTTGCCATATCTAAACGGCTCCTTTCTGATTATGACAGAGCTTACTGTGTTTACATTCATTCATTGGACTGGACACACAAATCACTTCTCTTGGTTCATCTTGCCCTAGCTGTCATGCAGACATGACATAGGTGTGCAGTACCCTTGAAGAAGTAGACCTTCTCTTTGCGACGATACCCTGGTGACGGAACTGCAAAAGCGGCATCTACATCATCAGGGATGTTACTGAATCCAACAGAGATGTCCCGGGGGTAATCCTCATCCAGGACATCGCCATCAAACCGCCAGTACTTGTTGCCCTGGGTTTGGGTGGGTGAGAGTTAGGGAGCGTGTGAAAATTCACTCACAGCATTTGTTACATTCACTACAAACACAGATTCGACCCCAAACCATTCAGGTTTTAAGAGACCAAACCTTGAAAATGTAGGTTTTCCCCTGACAGTTGATGCGGGTGAAAGCAGCATTTATGGGGCCTTCGATGCCCCACACATCCTTGATGAGCTTGGGGTACCCGGGCATTACTGCCTTGTCATCCAGCTCAAAGAAGTACTCCCCTGGAGAAAGGCAAGGCACAGTAAGAGACTTCATCTCTCCCACAAGTATTTAGCTTGTTTTGATCCATCAAGTTCCATATTTCACCAAGACTCTGGTTAGGATTCCAGTCAAAGTCAAGATTCAGGATTCAAGATGCCTATTTGTCATATGCATGAACGCAGTGGTATGTCAGCAGTGAAATGAAATTGCAGCTATTCCAGACTGTGCAGCAAACAAGGCAGAGGATAACAAAAATAAAAATCATGTGAGTTAGCAAAATAAGTATTTAAGAAGAAAGATAAAAAAGATATTAAATGCTATTTGAGAAAATATTTAAAGTGCAGGTTGCAGTTGTAGCTTGTTTTACTGTTTATTTGGTGGTGATCCTAATGGCTTGGAGGTTTAAGCTTCTTCTCAGCCTCTCGGTCCCGGCCATAAGGCTCCGGAGGAGGCTACCTAAGCGTAGCCAATGGAAGAGTTGATGGCATGGGAGCCGAATGTCTTTGATAATCACTTATAGTGCCTATTTTTTTCCACATCAACCTTGCAGATTGCAGTTCCTCACTGCAAATCAGCATCTGTCTGCCTGTTAATTTATACATTCTGCACAAATTATAGTTCCACAATATGTAGTAATGATGGTCAAATGAAGCTTTATGAACCATTTTCTCTATTTTTTGACCCCACTAGATGGCACAGTTGGTTTGCTTTGGGGCATGAATTGAAGCCTTTTTGAATAGAGAGCACCATCTAGTGGTGTAAGAAAATACAGCGATTGGCTCATGAAGCTTCATTTGGCCAACACTAGTAGGTCAGTGAGCTTGCCTGCACTCACCCCTGAATGCATAGATGGATCCATTCTTGAGCTGCATGAAGGCGTCAAATGGTCGACCACTGCAGGTGGCAGCATCCGGGTCCGGCTCACCGGGGGGAGTGATGGCCGGCTCCTCGGTGACGGTCACATTCTGCTCGTCGCTCTCCTCATCAGGGCCCGCAAAGGTATCACCCCTGGCTGTGCAGAGGAGCTCGGTTGGGGTAATTCTGGCACAGGGACGCGAGCGGACAGGCGGCACGGCACGGCGTCCGCAGGGCTTACACTTCCCGCGGCACGTCTCCTCGTAATCTGTGCAGCAGCTGCTGTAGAACTTGCAGAGGCTGTCGCATTGGCACTTTATGGTTGCGTCAAAGCCTTTGTCGCAGCGGCCCACACAGGACTCTGAGGATGGAAGGGGCCAAAGACCTCACGATCACCCCACATGCTCTGCCCCGAGAACTCACATGCCCCAAAGGGGTGTTAGGTTATCACTAATTATTCTCGTTAATATTAACAACAGTGTGTACATTTGGTATACTGTTCATAAGAATGTATCCCAACCTCCTAGGCAAGACAACCAGAGGTGCAATAAAGAGGGGAAGTTAGGATGATTCCAAGGGGCCCTAAAAAATTTGGAACATAATTGGTTTGGTCTGGGTTGGGGGTCCAATATGATATGCTTTCTTGGGGCCCAAAATCTCTAGCGGGGCCTACGCTCACAGGACCTGCACATGGGCCACTATCAATCGCTACAAACTAATGAAAAAACAACCAGCTTCGAATCATGTCTGTTGGTTAATGAAAGGTTGGTCCCTCTGCATGAATTATGTCCCCTCAACCAGGGCCGTAGTCAGCTATGAGGCCACTGAGGTCCGGACCTCAGTAATTTTTTAAGAACTAAAAATAAAATTTGAAGCTAAATATTCATATGAATAGAAAATTAGGCTAATGTTTCACATAGATAATTAATACAAAATAAACAGCTTATTAATGGGATGGTATCATTAATGTGATTGTCGAGACCCACCCCCCATCCCTGGGTCCCGGACCTCTATTTTTCACTATTTTTCCAAACCCTGCTTACGGCCCTGATTGTAGCAAGTAATTCCAATAAATTGAGCAATTTATTAGGAATAACAATACAGTAGCCCATTAGTAAAGATAGACCAGCAAATAACATAGTTTAGCAGCAAGTAACATTGTATCAGAAGGTCCACAGTCAGCCAAATGCCCCAGCTGGCCAATCAGAGCTGTCCTACCTTCTGCGGCTTGAACAACGGCCAGCACCGCGGTCAGGAAGATCAGCACCGGTTTCATGCCTCCTGTCCAGGCGAACATAAGCATGAACTGGGCTCTCAGGGCGACGGGAATGGGAATAAGATCGTCTGCCCTGTCAATCGATCGCTCCCAAAGTCACTAACCTCCCATTGTTTGCTGTAGGCTGATTCCCACATTTCAGGAAAGTAATCATTAAACTGACCAAAGTGCAGCTTTGTCTGTAAAAAATAGGATTTGTTTTATCCAATATTAGATAAAAATATATTGGCTATCAGTGGATATTTCCGATGCAAAAATATGGAGATGCAAGTAAAAAAATTTATTAATTGATGCGCTGAATGTAACTGAGGTACATCTCTTTTTCTACACTTCCATGCAACTTCCAAGTTAACGCCGGTGTTTGTGGTCAACCAATCAGCAAGCTGTCGCTGTAAGAGCCTCCCTAGTAGTTTGTGTTTGAACAAAAAGTACAAAATTTACTAAAAAAGGGTTCTGGGACTGCCTCCAAGGAACTAAAATCAGGCTGAGTTCCTGCAGTATGAATTCATCAAAAGCCCCTGGCTCTGGAAAAAGGTTCCGGTTCCAGAAAAGAAAAGAAGGTCATTTCACACTGTCCAAAGCAAAAGAGTCCAATGGAAGTTGCTTTGGATGATAGCATCAGCTAAACAGCAACATAATGACAGTTACAGTGAGGGGAGTCGTGGCCTGAAGACACTGGGTCTGGTCCAAACTGCCAAGAGGGGACAGCACAACCGAGTGACACAGCCCTGAGATGAAGTCTGAGGGTTGCTAGCACAATAAATATCGTATTTTCAAGAGATTCCAAAGATTTTTGGAGAAAGCCAATTTCCCAATTATCTTGGGCTAGATGCCAGATGCAGAAAAGCTGCCACTGCATTATTTTTGTATTTGTATTATTTGGTATTCATAACAGTTTGTATTTCTTGCCTTTGTGATTTTTTTTGTTAAACTTTCACGCTGCATTCAAATTCAAAATAAAAAGAGAGACCTGTCAGGAACTGTCTGTCATTTTCCTGTTTAGCCAGCAGGTGTCACTGGTCACCCTGTCCCTTCCTAATATGTCAATCACTTGCACCTGTCCCTTGTTAGTTTTGTATATATGTGTCGGCCCTTGGCTGATTCATCATTGTTGTCGGTGTAAGTAATGAGAGTGCTTGATGTCGATCCCAGACCCCTATTTTTGACCCCTCATGGTCCTTTATTTTGTTTCATCTGTATTTTGGTTTATAATAAATCCCCTTCAGTTAACCCAAAGGTTGCATTTAGATTGTTCCCCCATTTCATTGTGACAAAACGTTTTTTTCCCCCCTGGAGATGTTCCATGGCTCTGTGGGTTAGGACCCTGGGTCTGTGATCAGAAAGTTGTCGGTTCACATCCTGTGGCTAGTAGAGTCCATACTACTTTGACTCAGAAACAGTGCGTGAGTAATTTGAACACTTTAATACCAGTTGAAACCAGCTGATAAATTTTACTGGTTTCTCCTGGAACATATGCTCCTTCCTTATAGCACTCCTCCTTTTCAAGAAGCGTGTTTCTTCAGGAGGGTAAAGCTGGCATTGCGACATACAACAATAACTCACATTATGAGGCCAGTGACAGGGATTAGCAGGTCCATATATAACATTTTTATATGAAATAAGCTGTCATCATAAGTTTGTTAGTTCTCATATGTATGCATAAAAATTATCTTCTGTTAAACATTAATCTTCCCCAAAGGTTATAAAAAATCGCCCTGTACCTCCACATTTGGGCATGAAGGAATGTTACACAGAGAAAATGCATTCAGAGAACAGTGCAGGTGTTTGAAGTTCACCTGATCAGGCAGGAACAGCCTCCTGTTCTCTCACACACAGTGGGCTGTTGCTGCCAACACGTTAACCTGTTAGACTCAAATGATCAGCACAACCACGGCAGGCTTTTGTTTTACATTCTATTTATTTAGTAGACAATTTCTCAAAAGCAGTGAAGGGTTTGACAGTCCCTGTAACATCTGAAGTTATCGGCCTTGCATAACAGTGACATCACTCTGCCGAGTTTGAGATTGAATCAGCAACCATCCAATCACAGGAACGGCATCCCAACCCACTGAGCAGCACATTGCCTCACATTGTTGTTGTTTGCACCTTCGCATTAAAACCGTAGAACAGTTTTAGACATACTGCCATGCAGATGTACATGTCACAGTCACATGGCTGACATTTGCATAAAACATGCGACACCATGTAAAACATGTCTGAGATGTCAGGCAGATACCGTGCATTTCAGCAGCACCGGCACCCCGCTGATGTGGCCATGTGTCCAGAGCTTGGCCTGAGTGGTCGCAAGTTTCAGTGCAATTCTTTCATTTGGGTCATTTTGATACATCGACCCAACGTTACATCATCTTGGACGGGCAGAGGAGTCAAAGTTTAGCTTTAACAGCATTTTGCATTTTATGTGGGACTTGTAAATCGCCAGTATGTTTTTCACAAGGACGGAAAACTACTACTAAATGGTAAAAAGACTTTTTTCTTACACGCTGAATTGCATCAGTCTTTAATTTCTATCATTCATCCACCAAAGAAAGCAGAATTTTATGCAAAGCAGCATTTTACAGAGAAGTCTCTCTCTCTCTCTCTCTCTCTCTCTCTCTCACACACACACACACACACGCATGCAGGTTTGTAATTATATCTTTGTGGGAACTCTCCATTCATTTCTATGGGGAAAACACTAGTCCCAACATGACGACCTTAACCCCTAACCAGCTCTAACCTTAACCATAAGTAACCAAAATAAATATGAGATTTTTTGTTTTTTGATTGCGGTGACAGATTTTTGTAGGGATCTGAAAAATGGTCCCCACAATGCAAAATAACAGCTTTTTATCACATTGTGGGGTAGATTTGGTCTCCACAATGTAATACTGTATAAACATAACACACACACACACACACACACACACATGTCTACAGTCTGTGCAGGAATGTCAATCATGGAATGCATTTCGAATTACATTTATGGGTCTTTGCAGAGACAACATCTCCGTGTAGAAGTTATTATGGGCCCAATGATGGATTGCAATCACCTGCCTGACTGCATAATCATCCTGCCATCATTCATTTAAAAGACCAAAATTCAATAAATCAATCAATCAATCAATTTATTTTATACAGTACATTTTCACAACAACACTTTGTCTCAAACACTTTACATTAACCCTACCTAGTGCCCCCAGAGAGCAAGCTAGGGGCAACAGGGACAAAACTCCCTCAAAGGAAGAAACCTTGGGAGGAACCAGCCTCAAAGGCAGAGCCAAAGGCAGAGCCCATCCCAATTGTATTAATTTATTATCAAAATGTATGACAGGAAGATCTCGGTTAGGTCTCTTCTAATGAATATGTGGTGTTGGTATACTGGTGTGTCTTGGGTTTGGTTCCTTCTAAACAGAGGTGGATAGTTCAGGTCCAGGAAGTAAAAATCCAGACCAAGTTAGTACTAACTAACCAGTTGAGCATCAAGAGTCACAGTCACGGAGTACTCAATTGATTGGTTGAAACAAAATCTTGGTCTGGATTTTTACTTTTGGGACCTGAACAATCCACTGCTGCTTCTAAAGCTGACAGGTTTTGGATTCTCTCATAGGAAATGCTTTGCCCTGGTCTGTTCAGGGAGCCTGCACATGTGATTCAGTCTTTATTTATGGGTCAGAGTGGCAGTTTTGCTAAAAAAAAAAAACTCTAGCAGCCAATTACCTCATAATTTAAGAAGTCATGCAGCCTTGAGATCAACGCTTGCGATCCCAAAAAGTCCTCCACATTTTTCATTGGTGGTCTCAGGGAGTTTTCCGCTCCCTTCTTCTGGGGTGCTGCACTTTGGCCATCCATGAGCCGATACTGAGAAGCTCTGTGTTGGTTTGTTGGGTCAAAGTGCACATTTTTCTGCAATAAGCTGCGCAGCTGTGGTCTGTTGACCATCTAGGCAAACACCCCTCCCATTCTGCAAAGCAGATTAATGATCCAACTCAGAAGGCACCAAAATCAAGCTCCAAAATAGTTTTTTGAAGCTTTTGTTTCTACTACCTTCTTACTGCAACTGCTGTGCCGCAAATATGCATGTTAATAAGTAGTCAAATTGTACATATTTCATTCACTAAAATATTCCCTGTACCAACTTGTCTTGTGTATGTATTGTATGATGAAGAGCCTCTAATAAGTGGAGATAAACTCCACATTAAGAAATGGTGTTTAATCTCAGATAATCAGGCAAAGTGAATGTCATTGTGTGAATAACATGTATAAGAACGTCCAGCTGTGTTTGTGTTATTAGTCATACATTTTTAGTACATTCTAACTGAATTGTCAGTAGTTCTAGAACATTCTATTTCTTGAATAGAATGAGGTTATCTGTCACTGACTATACAACACTACGGCAACAGTAAAAAGGCAAACAAGTTATCTAATCTAATATTTACACTGAGCTAAAAAGTAATAGAAATAATATTTGCATTCTTGTTTAAATTAAACCGAAGAGTGTAGGTACTAGATATTTTTCACAGCTTGAAAAAACATTACAGCTTATTTTAGAAAAAATGTATATTTAGAAATGTATAAATATATTTTTATTTTACTACATATAAATAGTTATCAATATCTTAATCTCCAGTACAATTGAAATAGCTTGTACTGATTGTAGAAAAATATTTTGCGTTTTCAACATGAATACCCCTGTATAATGCTGCCTTTCAGTCAGACAGCGTAAACAAAGAGAGGGATGCTGGGACTGGCCCGTGTGACAGGATCCTAACCCATTTCAGCGCTGCTCTTTGTCCAGCACCAGCCTGATTGTTTTCTGGCTTGTGGTAAATGATTCTGGGTCTCAGGGTAAACCCTTAGCGGACTGATTCCCTCTAAATTGTACCTTGTCGGTTTTTTTTTTAACTCTCTCATAAACCTGTTGATGAGGACATCATGAAAAAAGATTTCAGCTGAGTTTTCAGAGGAACGTGTTCTAACAGAGTGGGAGCGATGCTCACTTTGCAAGGAGCCCATGGATGTCCGAGGAAGAACTTTTTGGAAGGTTGATCTCGGTCCTGCAGGGGGCAGCATTGAGCTCATTCTAAGCCCTGCTTGCTATGTATCTCAGGTACTATTTACACCAGTGAAGAAGCACTCTGTGTATGTTTGGCAAAAAATCTGGGATAGAGGTGGAAGTATATACTGCTGCCCATAAGCGCACACGTGTGTGTATGTGCCTGTCTTTGTCAATCAAATGCAGTGCTCTGTAAAACACTTTAAAGCTGTAATCTTAAACACCATAAACCTTCGTTTTTTGTGATGCCACGCTCTGTTTCACCGGTTAATGTTTAATTCCACTCTTGTGATATATATAAATGCGCAGGATGGATCCTGTAGGTCCCAATAAGGTATCAGACCATCATGATATCCCAGGCTTGGATGAGCCTGACTGTCTCTCAGATGTTGGCTTGATCCAGGTTTCCACAATGGGGGGCTGTTTGAAATGGCTGTGGGCACATCGAAACTATCTGATCATCTTCATCATTCCACTTCTCCTCCTGCCCCTACCGCTGGTCATCAAAACTCCGGTAAATGTGCTCTGAACTTTTCTTCTCTTTGAAAAAAAACTGTACAAAAGAAGCAGTTGTCGATTTATCTGAAACAAATAAACCTTGTGTTTGTGAATATAGTAGAAGTATCTCCTGTCATTGTAATGAAAATATTTAGGCCAGACTGAGAAGTAAATCTGTAACAAACAGGAGAGATTGGAAACAAAAAATGCTGAATACAGGGAGTAATGTTCATCTATTGAACTTGTGTAGTGTGATGAGGAATGAGACAAGGAACAAGACATAGGGAATAAGGATTGAGGCATTAGTTTATAACTGTAAAGAGCACAGTTTTCTGAAGCAATCATTTGATCCGTGCAGCTACTTTCAGAATGTTTCTGAAACCTTCTTACCCAGTTTCCTGATCATTAGAGATATACCTAAAATTTCCCAAACTTCACAATAGCCAGTCCGCACCTGCACTGAACCTCTCTCCCATTCTCCCTGACCTGCACTGGCTCCCTGTGAAATTTCGCATCAGATTCAACATCCTTCTCCTCACCTATAAGACCCTCATTAATCTCACTCCCCCCTATCTGTCTGATCTTCTCCTGCCCTACCAACTCTCTCATGCTCATAGATCATCCTCTCGTGGCTCCACGTTGTTCCTCCTTCCAAGCTCCACAGCTTGGGTGACCAGGCCTTCTCTAGGGCGGCACCTCGTCTTTGGAATTTCCTTCCCTCTGACATCTGTATCTCTCCCTCTCTCCCAGTCATCAGATCTCGTCTTTAATCATTTGTATTCTCTGAAACCTTCTAGTTCAGTCTTTGTGTTTTTTTATGTTGTTAATATTTTTGGGTTTTGATAAGCACTGTATAAATCTCAAGTGTCATTATTATTATGAATATTAAATGTTTTTGGGGTGGGGTGGGGGTGATTTTGACCTTGTAACAATGCATTATGTAATAACTCGACAGATTGTCAGTGAAGACATCCATCTTGGTTGTTTATTTTATAATGCACAGTAATAGATTTTCATCATTAAAAGTGCAACTCCCGCATTTTGTAATAACCACCATAATATGTAATAATTTATTACAAAATGCAGGGAAATTTATTACATATTGCAGGCAAGCTGCCTATTACACAATGCCACAGATTATTGCAAAAGGCAGGTACTATTATTATTAAAATTTGTTATATTTTGTCGAGTTATTACATAATGCGGCATAATTACATTATGCATTGTTGTAGACCTTTAACTGATGGAGTAATCAAGACACTTAGAAGGATGTCCTTGGATTTCTCCTAACCCTTTTCTTCACTCATTCATTTGTCCATTCGCCCCCTTACATAATCAGCAAGTTACTCCTGTTTTCAGCTTCTTCACTTACAGTTGTTGATCACTCACTTACTCGCTGGTTCACTCACTCACTCGCTCGCTCACTCACTTACTCACTTGATATCCTACCCTCTGGTCATGATTCAGGAAGCAAAATGTGGCTTCGTCATCATCCTCATGTCCCTGTACTGGTGCACGGAGTGCATGCCACTGGCTGTCACCGCACTCCTTCCTGTCATCCTCTTCCCTGCGATGGGCATCATGGTGTCTGAGGAGGTATGGTGCAAAAGGAAGGTGAACTGAAGAACTAGCAAGACTAAAGCTGCACGGTCACAGACATACGCACTTACCGCCATTCAATAAACTTCAGTCTCACCCGCGACTGCTTAAGGACCCAAAAGAACAGGCTGCTTACACACGCTGGTCCCACACGCTGCTTCCTCCCTTAGGTTTGTGTGCAGTACCTGAAGGACTCCAACATGCTGTTCATTGGTGGCCTGCTGGTGGCCATTGCAGTGGAGTCCTGGGAACTGCACAGGCGCATCGCCCTTCGCGTGCTGCTGCTGGTGGGAGTCAGACCTGCACTGTATGGACCAGCCCGAAACACATGCACATATGCACTGGAACTCACATGGGCACTGGCACTCACATGGGCACTGGAACTCACATGGGCACTGGCACTCACATGGGCACTGGCACTCACATGGGCACTGGCACTCACATGGGCACTGGAACTCACATGGGCACTGGCACTCACATGGGCACTGGCACTCACATGGGCACTGGCACCGACATGGGCACTGGCACTCACATGGACATGCTTGCCCAAATGCACACTCACATACTCATACAGGCAATACACATACACACACACACACAGACATACACACACGTTTGTTTATTTATGCCCTGCGTTGGGTTGGCACCCCATCCTGGGTTGTTCTCTGCCTTGGCCCCTGTACCTCAGGTCCCCCAAACCTGCATAGGACAAGTGGGTACAGAAAATGGATGGATGGATGGATGGATGGATGGATACCTAGCTTGCCCTCAACCAAACTGAAAACATTTGAAAGTATATAACAAGCTTAGCTTTTTGAAAGCTCATTTAAATAACAAGCTATGTTAATAGTATGGACACATCCAAAGGTCTGTTTTCTGAGTGTTCACTATGCCGCTGTGGACATTCATCTCAAACACCACCCAAGAACCTTAGGAAAACACACCTACAAATACATGCACACTCACACACATAGTTTTTTTTTTTACTTATTATTTATTTTCTGGTACATGCATTACATCTCAAGCACAGCTTGCTGAGTTAGTTTGATGCCTTTCCTACGGGTGAATTAGTGCCTCTTCTGAGATTCGAACCTGCAAGTTTCCTCAGCCAGTGTTTCTCAAAGCAGGCCTCAGGGAAGCCCAAACAGTCCCCGTTTTTGTTCCCTCCCAGCTCCCAACACACCTGTACCAGGAACTGGGTGTTCCTGATCGGCTGGGAGTGGGGAGGGAGTGAAAACGTGGACTGTCTGGGGGTCCCCGAGGGCCAGGTTGAGAAACACTGTCCATAACCACCATTTTGCCCCATTGTAAACATGAAGATCCACCCACTGGTTCTTCTCCCAGGCTGATGATGGGCTTCATGGGTGTAACAGCCTTCCTGTCTATGTGGATCAGCAACACGGCCTCCACAGCCATGATGCTGCCCATCGCACAGGCCGTCCTGCAGCAGCTGAGCGACACAGAGGCCCGGGCCGACGAGCAGGAGCTCAGCCAGTCTGTCCATGACAACCTGGCCTTCCAGACGGACCTGGTCATGGATCAGAAAGTCAGCCTGCAGGACTTGAAAAAAGGCAAGAACCTCACCCTCAAGCTCGGGCCACCAGAGATACAGATCCAGGGCTAGTGCTGCTATTTCAGAGGCTCCTGGCAAAGCTTTACCTTCCAAGACAACTGATGATCATTTCACTTCCTGCACAGTGTTGGTAATTCAGGGGCCCCAAGCAACTGTCTTTTGCACCTAGAGATGGAGCAGAGAACAGGAGGGAGGTTACTCAGTATGATGCCATGTTACCAGATGCGTTTAATTCTGAAAAGAGCAGCGTTGCATCATAAAGCAGAATAATAACTGAATTACACGGCAAATTAGTCACTTTTTTAGCCATCTTTTTCATCGTAAGCATCTCCAAAAGAATGAAAGTGCTGGTTTACCAGACGTGTGCAGTGATTTTCTATGGAAGGCCAAATCTGAGCTTGACCAAGTCAGCAGGGGCTGTTTTAGGTTATTATTGTCCGATGAAAGCTCCAGTAGAAGAATGGGTAGATTTTACATCCCCCTTTATGAAAATGCATGCATAAATCAAAAGAATTCATGCATTTTCTATGTTAACTTGAACATAAGACATTACCTTTTTTCATTTTAATGATTGTGCAGGACATTAAAAATAGCTTGAGCTGGATATTGCTGTGGAACAGCCTTTGTCCAGGTCTTGTATAGATTCAGCGGATCAGTCCCTAAAGAACACAGTTCTTCTGTTAGTCAGTATTCAGCATTTGTACAACTTTACACATAGTGCTGTGACTTGATTACAGAGATTGCAGTAGAATATAGATTGTAGGGAATTTTCCCGAGGGAAACTTCTAGAAAGAAAAGTCTTGTATTGGTGAGGGAAGTGGAGATGCGGGGATATAACGGTCCGTTCCACTTAGATGAGGCGATGGAGACAGAAGTGGTGGACAGCTTCTCTGAGCAGAAGACGCGGGCCAGAGAGGAGAAGTACTTACAGCTATCCAAAGGACTGAGTCTCAGTGTGTGCTACGCAGCCAGCATCGGCGGTACAGCTACACTCACAGGAACCACACCCAACCTCATCCTCAAGGGCCAAGTGGACGAGTGAGCTCTCTTCCTGCAATCAGCCTTTCAGGGTCATCTCTGATCAGATACACAGAGACGGATCCAGGTTCTAGAACTGACACCATTTAGTTGAATATTAACACAATCACATCATTAGATGCTGAGGCGTTAACTGAGTAATAACGTTAAAATTTAATGTAAATGTAATTAAATGTAGCATTTAGAGATTATGCCTATTTCCAACTTGGTTTCCAAGTGATCTTCTGTAATTGGCTCTTCCGCAAGCTAAAGAAAAATGACATCCATTTAAACAAAGACTTTTAATTGTAGCAGTTCTTTATTTGTAGGCATGACAGTCATACACAGGTAATTTCCCTGCCGCTGCAGGCTTTTTCCAGATAACAAAGACATAATCAACTTTGCCAGCTGGTTCGGCTTTGCTTTTCCCAACATGCTTTGCATGCTGGTCTTCTCCTGGATGTGGCTGCAGTTCATGTTCCTGGGATTCAAGTAAGTCCCACCTGCTGTTAAGATCTACTGCCATGTACTTTTGTCTTCAAAGCAACACATCATGTCACATTAAAATGCCAGCACAGAGAGGCAGGTAAATGCAGAAAACATTTATGAAACCAACCCATACACGGCACATGCAAGCAGTCCCTTGACACAGTTTATGCATTTTGATTTGTTTGCGACTCGTTGCTGGTGCCCCTTTGACAGCCAATGGGAAAGCAGGGATTCATGAACTGGAAGCTTGGCAGCAAGTTTGCATATTCTGTTTCCTGGGAAACATATTTTTTTGGAGGAAACTACAGTAAAGCTGTAAAACTGTAAATCTATGTGCAGCTATTGCTCTGGATTGAAACATCTCATCTACAAGATGCATGACTCGTGTAGAAGGGCCATCTATGGGAAGGATGCCCCGAGCTGCTGTGTTTAACTTTTCGGCTGCAAATTCATGTAGCCTGCAAGCCGGGGATCCTGGATTTGGCAGTGCTACTTGTACTGGTAGCATCTGGTCAGTTAAATAGAACCATGACTAGCAGGTAAACGCAACAGCATCCTTCCTGCAAATTTCAGCCTGAAGAAATCTTTTGGCTGTGGCGCAAAGAATGCAGGAGACAGGGAGGCCTACCAGGTGATGTGTGAGGAGTACAAGAAGTTGGGCAGGATGAGCTTCGCAGAAGCGGCTGTCCTCATCATCTTCATCCTGCTGGTGCTACTGTGGTTTACACGGGAGCCTGGATTTATCCCTGGCTGGGCTACTGTGCTCTTCAACATGGACAAGCAGTGAGTTAATGGGTCTTATGAGGGACCGCAGAAGAGGGTGCTTGCATATCGTCGCTTTCCATTGTGTCTAATTGTCGACTGTTGTAATTTTGAGTATGCCCATTCTTTGAGCATGCCCATTTTTGTTGATTGTGATTCTGAGTATGCCCATTCACCCATAATAGTGTCTGACATCTAACTGACCAATGGAAATATGTTTTATGAAGTCATCTATTTAAATAGTAGGGGTGTAAATCACAGCTTTCCTCGCGATACGATACAGTATCGATTCCTCAAGCCAACAGTTCGATTTTTTTTGATACATCAGGAATTCCCACGAGACGATGCGATACGATACGATTCAGTTCGATACTGGGGATAGTAGTCGAAATGATGAAATTTCACACAATCCTTTACATTTCAATGGATTAAAGAAGGCAAATATAATTAGCATTTTATCATATTTTATTGGCAACTGTAAACAAAATCTAGTGTAGTCAAGTATGTCCTATAAATGAAGCAAAATAAAGTGCAATAAGGCAAAAATAAAAACTTTGGATGGATGTAGATTAACATGGTGAATAATTTTTTATTTTGAATCAAGTATTCTCCAGACAAATACAAAAGTGTAACGAAAAGTATGTCCATAACTGTCATGACCTGCTCGTATGACCCTCTCGTGTGCTAGAGGCTTCTTACTTGGTCCAGCTCCCCCATTCATTTTTATACACTTTCTTAAGTTTAGTAGAAATAAATTGGAGGCTAACTAGGCGACTCGGTAGCTTGCAGCAGCTGGCGTGGTTGAACGCATCATCCATCCTCTATTTTTTATGCCATACGATCTACCCACACTACCTTTGCGATCGACCAGTAGATCGCGATCGATGTATTAGGCACCCGTTGGTGTAGACCATGTATACGTCGGAGTGGATCATGAAAGCAATACCGGAACAGGCCAGAAAATAAAAACACATGTATCGACATTTATGCGGTCATATCGATGAATTGGATCGTTTGCCGTTGAATCGATATATCGATACAAATCGATGCATTGTTACACCCCTATTAAATAGTATATGTTTGTATTCATGATGGTTATGTGAACTACTTTATATCGCCAATTTAATCAAGTGAACGTTGATAGCTAGATAGTCAGCTAACTATCATCATTGTTAATTGTGAATATAAAGTGAGATTAGTTTGCATTTTATCGACACTCACATTTCTGCCTCGCTGACAAGAATCCACGGGAGTCCATTTGAATCACTCAGCTGTTCACTGATCGCTGTGTGCAGATTGATATCTATTTGTGGCGCTTGATTATATTGCTTTAGGTTTATTTTGCAAAGTAGTTTCTGAGAAAGTGTATTTTTTCCACACTCCTGAAATTATGTAATTTTAGTGATATGCGTTTTTCACTGGAGAGCGAGGAAATGGCCAATTTGTGCTAAACCCCACAAGGCAAATCACACAAACGAGAATCAGTACCTGTATTTGGGACACACCACTGTTTTCTGCGCAGCCACAGCGTTAACATGCCCATCTCTGTGTTGCAGGTATGTCACTGATGGCACGGTTGCCATCTTCATGTCTACACTATTCTTCATAATCCCCTCCAGGCTACCCAGCGCCTCCTGTCTTCGTCACAGTGATGCTGTCGATGGTGATGACAGCAGCAGAAACGGATGTGAAGGCAAAGCCAATGAAATCTATCACACCCATGTACCGGCCACAAAATGAGGGTTTAGCTGCACATTTGCAGATACCCTGCAATTTTTTCTAGTCTGGCCTAGTTTCTTTTTTCTTCGTGATACTACTTTCTGAAATCTGCCGCACTTTTACCAAGCTGCCAAAGGCCAGAATAATTAGACCACATTGGTGAATTAAAATTTGTGTCATAATGGTAATGATCAGTAGTCATGTCTGAAAGATCCTCTGGTGTAAATTAGGATGTTCCGTTGGTAATGCTGCTTTTTAAGATTCTTACTCTAATTATACTTCAAATGTACTTAAAATATTTCACGGACCTTGGTGAGAATTCCAGTCCTCGGTTCTCAGTACATAATATCCACATTTTCTGTACCTGATTCCAACTTCCCTCAGGTGAGAGTATGAAGGTCCCTTCCACCCTGCTAAACTGGCAGGTTGTACATGAGAAGATGCCCTGGAACATCATCCTGCTGCTGGGAGGGGGCTTTGCTCTGGCCCGGGGCAGCGAGGTTTGTGTCTATCTCGGTTCTCACATGTGCCTATTGGAGTGTGGGAGAACCTGCACCTGTATTGTAGTGATTATGCTGAAGCCCGGTGTGTCTGCATACAGAAGTCTGGCCTGTCCCTGTGGCTGGGGCAGAGTTTGGCCCCCCTGCAACAGGTCCCCCCCTTCGTGATCTGCCTGCTGCTCTGCCTGCTGGTGGGAACCTTCACAGAATGTTCCAGCAACTCAGCCACCACCACACTCTTCCTGCCCATCCTGGCCTCTATGGTGAGCCAGAGCTTTCTGACACTTACGGCCAGAACGTACAGCTGGATGTCATTTCCAGAGAGCGGATAAACATTCATGAGGCCATCATGTATCCCTATAAAAAAACAGAGCATTTGTAACTTTTTTTCTCCCTTAAAACGTTGCACAGAGTAGGCAGTTGATTGACACGCAGTGTGTGGTTCTTCAGACACTTGGTTAACAGAGTAGGGGGAGAAGTTACTGAAATAGCAGTTGATGCAGTTCTTCACTTCGTGGATTGAAGTAGGATGGTCATCAGACAGTCCCTTTCTATCTACAGGCTACTGCCATACATCTGAACCCACTCTATGTCATGCTGCCCTGCACCATCTGCGCCTCCATGGCCTTCATGCTACCTGTGGCTACTCCACCCAACGCTATTGCTTTCTCCTATGGCAAGCTGAAGGTCATGGACATGGTAAGACCCTTTAACCTTCGGAGCATGGAGTTGTACTCCTAAAACTCCAGATTTAAAGGTCATTCTGTATCTCCGTCACCAGGCCAAGGCTGGCCTTGGGCTCAACGCCATTGGCGTCATCATGATCAACATCGCTATCAACACCTGGGGCACAGCTATGTTCCACCTGGACGTCTTCCCATCCTGGGCCAATGTCACCGTGACGACCCCCTGAGCTTGAAGGACAGAGGGAGGCAAAGATTATGGTTCTCAAGATGGAGTGCGCAGCAGAACTGATGCTGCTGTCTAAATGCTCATGTTGTCTGGTTCTAGAAAACAATGCCTGCACCTTTATCACTACTGCTGCAAATTGGACTACAAACTGGACATGTATCTGAAGGAATCACACTGTTCAGCCTTTGGGTTTGCACTACACAGGGCACAGAGTGCATTAGGGTAAGAGAATCAACGTATCTCTGCCCCGCGACCATGTGGGCAATGAGAACAGAGCTTATTGGGCAGTTCAGTGTTTCAAATTAATGTAAAACTCCATGAATCTCATGGTTTATCTCATGGTTTAAAATTGCATGAATCTCCTCCTTTATTTAGTTAAATATTAATATAAACATAAAACGCCGGGAAGAGGCACAGTGGTGCAGTGGTTAGCACTGTTGCCTCATACCTCAGGGACCAAGGTTTGAGTGTCCGCCGTGGGTCCATGTATGGAGTTTGCATGTTCTCCCCGTCGTTGTGGGGTTTTCCACTGGGTACACTGGTTTTCACTGCCCCAAATACCGAAACATGCTGAGGTTGTTCGGAGTTGCCAAGTTGCCCATAGGTGTGCATGTGTAAATGGTCTATGAGTGTGCAATCGGTGTGTGAATTTAGGGCACAGGGGGTGCTATTTGTACACAGCTGGGCTCTCACCAGCAACAAGATGTTGGCTCCCGCAACCCTGGATAAGACTCCCATTTACAGAAAATGGAAAGATAATATGCTGGTTTATTTAAAGAAGAAACTGTGTTTGAACATCATATTCTGCATGAAATGCATCAGGGCAAATACACCAAGATATCCGGAATGGGCCGGAATAAAAAATAAGCAGGAATTACTGCAGCTCAGCCCCCAGCCCCCCCACAGAATAAAACTAAAATGCAGTATTTCATATAAGGAGCAAGGAGCAGACACTGGCCAGAGTGAACGAGAAACAAGAGACACTCATAGGCCTGGAAATCTACAGTATCTTGGTTTTTGCCTAAAATTGGGAGCAGCCCCCCTTGTCCACTGCACCCCAAGGCTGGCTGCGTGCTCCTCTCACGCACGGCCTACCAAGCTGATTACTTTCTTTACACACTGTAGCCCGTGGAGCCTTATGACTGGATGCCGCACAGTGGAACTGCAGTACATGTTGTCATGGCAATGGCTCCGTGAATGTGATCACAGCAGGAACACAAAAGCGAATTCACTGTGTTCCGCTGCATGACGATTTCAGCTTTGACTAATACTTGTGGGCAGACATAGTAATGATGCTCTTCCACAAGGTGGCAGTATATCATTTTATTCATTCGCTTATGTCAAAATGCTATTTCCCTACAGTCTTTTGGATGTGATAAATGGCATTTTGCAGGATAAGAGTGCTAAATGTGTAACACCTTCTGCTGAAAGCAGACTTTTTACTAATATAGCCCCGCAGATGAAGGAACAGTTCTGTGTAATTTCAGGGAATACGAAATAAAAACAAGCAAAGACACAAATGATTAGTTGGAAAAAAAAATCACATTTATATAGTTGTTATACTGGCATTTGAATTGTCCAAAACTTGGAAAGAAGCAAATTAATCAAAGTAAAGTCATTTTACAATAATCACATTTTTAAAATATAAATAAATCTCTTGACATACATTAAATCATATACTGAAGTCTGTATGTATTATATATATTTTAACACCCAGAGTCAAACTCTACGGTATCAAATTGTCTTTACTTGACATATTGGATTTCTGTGAATCATCTACAGAATGCTACAATCCAGCAACTACATACACAAACCGCGTCACCATACTCACACTACAGAATGTCCACTAACAGTCAGCGGAGGATTGTGGAACGTCTAACCTCTGCTCTACCGTTCCTTAAATTTGATGGCTGTTGGAAAACTGGTACAATTCATTGATTTGCATTTGCAAAAGGATGCAGGGATCAGTAACATTCTCAAGGACTATTATTGGATGGACAAAAACTTGGAGATTTGATCACACGGTTTTAAACGTTGACACTACACACATTTTCATCAAAATACTGCTAAAACGATTTCAGTTGTGTGCTGCTGCTTTAAATTCGGGACAGACCACCCTCAAAAGAAGTACTGACAAGCCATGTCGGAATGACTCATTCCTTCAAACATTATGTTAATTGTCAATGTAAAGCAACATATCCAAATATGAATCGATATGCATGGAAGTGGATGCAACCTGGGATTCTGAACCTATTTTCCCACAAGTCACAATTGTGACCACATGTTCACAATTAAGCTCATTAAGCTCCAAAAGAGTGGTTGTTGCCTTTAAGCCCGAAAGACTTCCTATAAATGAAAGTAGAGGTTGTGCTGATGGTACATGAGCAATGTCAGGTCACTAGTGTCAATGGTGATGTGACCAGAGCAGATTCCTTCATGTACTCTCATGGCAGGGAAGATTAAACATGTTCATGTGGGACTTAGACTCAGACATATCAAAAGACATATTTGTTATACACAGATTTGGATTGTCTTCTTAAAAATGGCAGTGAGATGCTGATGCAGGGTCACAAACAGGCCTGGCAGAATCATACAGCACAGAACTGCTGCAGCCCCTAGATCCAGAACCTTGGAAGAGGTCAAAGGTCGTACACAGCACGACCTGCTGAGAACAGCCTGTGATGTAAAATCAGTGGGCAGGAGGGATTATTAGACAGGTCGTATACAAGAAAAGCTTCACTGGCTAACAGTATTTACTTCAAGGAGGTGAGGGGATTCAAATACTGTTACATCAGCAATTTCTGAAACCCATGGCAATTACAGAGAAATCAGAGTTCAAGCAAATGAAGATTCATCCTATCAAGTGCGGCCGCAGAGAACAGAGAGGGTTGGGAGGCCACTATATGGAGTAAGATTAACAATGCATAACCTATTCTGAAATATAACTGAATGTGACTTTACTATTTACTGACCTGATACCAGTGTCACAAGGTCACATGACACTTCACACACGGTGACACTGGGGCATGAACACATAGCGGCGTCAGTGAAGTGTGGACGGCCTGCTGGTCATCATGGCTACCAGTAACTCTCACCAGGGCAAATTTGAGACCCTCGCTACCAGTTTCTACTTGTGCTGATGCGTCAGCTTCATAAAGACATGCACAAAGTTAGGAGAGGAGTCCATGATTCACTGGAGAAGTGAAACACGCTTCCCCTTTTTCTTGGCAAGTTGTCTGGAACAAATTAATCAAACGCAGCAGTTTATAGACAAGTTGGACGTAACAAAAATGGGTTACAGTTGAGCAGAGCTGAATATAACTTTAAGGGAAAAGGCATGACCTTCAGCTAGGCTACACTCTACACCACTGATGGTATCACTGACTATGCACATGCTGGTGTTTCAGAGACTATCCAAGGCAGAAGTTATTCTAACCATGGGCTGACTTACAGATTTGTGACCTACTAGTTCTGTCTAAGGAGACTACCCTAAGTGTGAGTTACACCAACACTAGATGATGCACCTGGGATGGTTTTCAATCTAATGTTTTTAAATCATACCGTTCCATTACCACGTTCATTACAAAAATAATCTGTAAGTGCTGCTCAAAGGGGCTGTGTGTGTGTGTGTGTGTGTGTGTGATTGTGTGTGTGTGTGTGTGAGTGAGCGAGCGAGCGAGAGAGAGACTGGGAGACGTATCCACAGTTAGGGGGGTGGGGGAGAGACAGATTCAGCAGTTTGAAGGGGAACTCTGGAGCCGCAGATGACCAGGAAACCAAAGAGAAGATATGAAAATAGTTCTGCAATGTTAAGTCCCACTAGACAGGTGTCTAGACTTTTAAGTAATGCTTTGTAGTTCACTGGTGTGTGGGGTGGGGGGGCTGGGCTCCGGACCTGGTGGGCGCAGTGGGACCTCCGATCTCTGTCCTTGGCCTGTCCATCCGTCCATATGTCTGCCCGTCCATCTGTCTAGGGCCCGCCGCTGTACGAATAATCTGCCTTGTTATGCATCACCAGCTTGTTGTCCACAAAGTAGAAGCTGTCAGATTGAGTCTCATATGGATGCAGGATCATCTCTCGCACTGCAGGGGGCAGAGGACAGGGTAGATCAGCCATGTGGAGCCCACCACCCACACTCATCTGTCATTACACACACTAAACACCAGGGGGCAGACTCCTACATTCGTTTGTTACAAACAAGTAGCAGTAGGTTAACCCAGGCAAGGTCTTACTGATTATTCATTGATTACTCACTGATCACTCACTGATTATTCATTGCCGGTGCTGAACAGTATATTTGTAAGCCGATTTTTGCTAAATGTTATCAGGAACTATAGAGGGCATGGATTCATATTTAAAGAGTAAATGTCCAAAACTCACACAATCCACAGGATACATTTTCATGCAAATTTAGATGGAAATTTAACGAAAGCTCTTTGTTGGATTACATAAGGACTGGATGAGTTTTAGTTCCCAATACTGTATCACATGGTGAAGAAGCCTGACTTCAGGTCACTGGCCGTTTTATCTCAAAAACAACAACAAATGGACTGAGTGAGTTTTGGAAACTTGCTCTTCATTTTCATGGATCAAATCCCTCGTGATTCTCATTTTATTGCTCCAGTAGAATATCCTACTACATAAATCAGTAAAATTATAAACCATGTCTGTCAAACAACGGCAACTGCAAAATAAATTGTAGCCACAGTAGATGTACTGTTGCATGGAAGCTATACTACATGTCCAGTTCTCACAAATCACTGATCCTTACTGAGGTCCTCGGAGAGCGGTGGGAACTCGTAGATGTGCTCGCAGGTATTCTTGCTGCTGGGGATGCAGAAGCCAAACTCAAAATCGAAACTCTTGAGGAGTTGCTCGCGGAAGTAGTGCCTCTCGATCATGCGGAAGTTGTTGATGGGCTTGTCGCCGACGGTAAACTCCACCCTGCGGCAGAAAGGCGAGGTCGCTCAGCATCCCTGGGAAGCTCCCCTCTTCTCCTCAACCTTCCCCTGCCCAGTATCCACTGGACGCCATTACGTATGGCTTACTTCCCTGACTGTGGTCACGTCATGGTCGCTAACGCTGGGAAATGAAACACACACACACACACACACACACACACACACACTCACGTGGCGCCGACTTGGCGCAGCCGCAGGAAAGCAGGGGTGAATTGGTAGCGTACAAAGCGCCCAGCGTTGGGGTCCAGCTCCTTCTTGCCAGCTTTGTCTGAGGAGCACAGAGAAGAACCACGCTGACATTCTTGCACATCTCTAAAAAGATAAACTCCCTTCACCTCCTACTGTGACACCTGTAGGAGCTTGAGGAATCCGGGCTTCTTCTACATTAATATGAAAAACGTTTTAAGGACGCTGTTCCAGTTTAGGTAAAGGGGAGGGATTTATTCTGGAACGGCGGTTTGGTAATGGACAGAAATTTTGTGTGGTTTACGGAATAATTTCTTTAACTGCATTTTATCGCATTTCAGTGCATTATTCAGAACATGTTTTAAATTTTATGTATATATATGCATGTTTCTTTTGAAAAACGACAAAGTATTGTCCATGGTTTGATTGCTGGAAAAAGAGTCAAACCTATCAGAATTTTCAATTTCCCTGGCAGACTTCGTTTTGCATATAATACTCTCACTGGATAAACATGCATCACTGGAAGAACAGATGTGTCCTCAATCCTAAGCTTTCTCGTTACCTTCAACATCTAGCCTTACTTTGGTAGGGGAAGTCACCCAGGCATGTCCACTCAGACTGAGAACACCACGGCTTACCAGTGGTTGGAGGCTTGGTGATTTCAAACAGCACGGTGCCCGTCTCCATGTCACGGATCTTGAACCTCGTGAAGTCGATATTGTACACATTCTCCTCCGGGCTGCATAAGTAATCTGAAAGAGAGAGAGAGACCAGTCACCTCACAGGGCCTCAGTGTCACCGGCGCCCCCTGAAGGCTTCTCGAGGACTTCAAGTGTCCTTCCTAAATTCCATTCTTTCACACCTGCTTTACTGATCTTTATATGTGAAGCTACCGTTTGCGTCTTACCAACGTCGTATTCCTCATAACTAGCTTCTTATTCTCAACGCTCACCTACCTCAAGGTCTCCACCTGCAATTGTACTATAGTGTTATTTTGCACTGTCTACTGTCTATATGCACCAACTCGCACCTACTGTTTACTTGTATTACTGCACTGAGCCATTGTTGTGTACTGCTGTATATTGTATTTTTTATCCAGCATTTATTGATCAGTGTTTATCCTTCAATTGTTCTTTGTTCTTGCTGTCTGGTGGTCTGTAGAAACACAATTTTGTTTCACGTGTATAAAAAGACAATAAAAGGTGATTGACCTGAAAACAATGCTGCCAGAAGTTTCCAGAATGTGGATTAACACACACATACACACAGTGAATTCTGCTACAGCAACCCGAGGATAATTCATGTTAAAGGGACACTGAAGGTCAAATTACAGCATAAAAGCACAACAGCTGAGCTGACCGGGAATGACTGTCTGATTTACGGTCTGAAACTGTATAGTGGATCTTTGATGAGTGAAACATAGTCTGAAATAACATAGTCTAATAAAAATTTTTTAAAAAGTATGGTCATGCCCCTCCCCCATTATGCTAGCCAATTCTAGGAACAGGTGGGACCTCTGACCCCCAGGGCTGGTCACATGACTAGATTACACCAAAAGAGGCTTAACAAGATTCAGCATCACGTGTGAAGGAGCAAAGGACTATGGGATTACTGATAACACTGCATGATAAAGCACGTACCGATCCATAGCCAGCTGCCCAGGAAGGAGCGAGGGGTTAATGAACGTTATAAAGGTATAGGGTGTGATAAGCAGGAGCGGGCCAGACTTCAGTCATGTGCCAGTGTGCTCTTACATACCGTGTGTGCAAATTTCCAAACACCAGTGCTCTTAGATAAACACAGTCAAAGACATTTCAGACGCTGCCAGAGGTGGGGTTTAGCGTTTCAGGAGCCCAAAGTCACAGTGTCGTCTGGATACCCCAAGCAGAACAAGGCTTCAGTGGATGGGTGCATCACTGCTGATGCTACGTCGGAAGGTCAAGAATCTCTTGAATCCTGAGTGAAGATCCATACAAACAGTCAAGTTTCCGAAAGTTTCCTTTAAACTTGCAACGGATCCAGCCTGTCACCCAAGTGAGGATAGGACAACATAAAGCACGTCAGATGCTCAGCCTGCTTTGCAGACCTTCAATGGACACGGACTGTTTTGGGACCTGTCAGAAAATTCACAATGGGGCACCTAGCAAGTATTTCAAAGGATTTTGAAGGAGAGTTTTGTCATCTCCCACTACTTGTTTTCTGTTGCTTTCTTTTGCTCTTCTTATTCTTGCTCCATTTCTCTCACACTGATATTTGTCTACTGTGCACAACCATGGATCAGTAATTTCCATCATAATCCCTCCTCTAGTGCTCAGCTATGATGCACACTTAGGCTAAACACTATTCCAGGATTCACCAACGTTTGCCCTACTTTATCTAACAATGCAGCAAACAGCAAACAGAAGCATCCAAACCAGGCAGGGCGAGACACAGTCCGTGTTCAGGTGCCTTCAGAGAGGCGAGACATTGCCAGGAAGATGCTGCGTCATCAGACCGCACATTAGCAAATGCAGGCCTGCGACCACAATCGACAGGAAATGGAAGAAGAAGTAAAAGTAAAAGATTGTGTGCAGACCCAGCTGACATAAGCACACGTATTTTTGTATTCACATCTTTGTAGGGACTCTCCATTCATTAATATAGGGAAAACCCTGATCCCAACAATGACAGCCTTAACTCCTACCCAGCCCTAACCTTAACCATAACCAAGTCACAGATTTTTATAAAACTGAGTTTCCCCTTGTGGGGACCGAAAAAATGGTTCCCACTATGTCAAAACAGATTTTTATAATTTTGTGGGGACATACATATGACCACACACACACAAACCTTGGTCTCGCATGCCATGGCAGTGTCTACCCAGCTCATGTGATGAATCACACAGTTCCGAGAAGCCAAAAAAACAGATTGTTTCATTTCACTGAGCAAGCAGACGGCTGACACATTTCACTGTGACCGTCACCTGCTAGTGCGCACCAAGATGCCAACAAATGACACAACCACAAAGCACTCTGACAGCAACCATTTGGCGACCGGCAGGTAGACCCCTGTAGACAGCCTACCTTGGAAGGATGCTCGATTGTTAAAGGCTTTGTGTTATGACTCGGTGGGTTACTATATGCTATCACAGCACATTCAGTCACTTCACAAACCAGCCTTTACTGGAAACTGTGTCATCCATTGCTGCAAGGCATCAGCGTTGCAAGGGACAGGATGTCTGATAGGAAAAACTCCCCCACTGCTGAACCTCAGAAGCTCTACTCATGGCAACAAATATCGGTATCTATTTATATTCATTAGCGAAGTTAGTTGTGCACCGTTTTCCTGCTGAGCTGGGTTGTAAGCTAAATCAGTGATTTGTGCTTTCATTTGTCACTTCATTGACTAAAGAGTTGATATGTTTTTTCTCAATAAATTAACCCAGTGTTTCCCAATCCGGTCCTCGAGGACCCAAAATGTGGACTGGATGTGGGTCGTCGAGGACCGGATTGGGAAACACTGGATTAAACTACCAGGTTGTAGCTTCTCTTTAGTACATGCTTGACACGTTCAGCAGATCGTGACCAATTTTTGTTTAATGGGGCAAAAGCAATGTCTCCTGGGAAATAGATCCAATACTGCAGGGTTCTTCAACTCTGGACCTCGATTCCAAATCCAGGCCGTGTTTTCAGTTCCCCCCGGTAGTTGTTTAATAATTACTGATTCTGATTGGTCAGAGGCTTCACACCTGACTGACAGGTAAAGGAAGGCTGGAAAACCAGCAGTGCTCGGACCTCAAGGACCGTGAGTTGAATAACCCTGCAATACTGTATAATTCTAGTTTCTCATCTACATCAATACAATCTGACCCATCAACCAGCAGTGGGGTTTATTTTGATTGTGGTTTTAAATGCCTTTTTCACAGGTCTTTGCAAGCGACAATCTGATCTAATTGGCCAAGCTGCTCTTGAACCAACTGAATCGAAAGGCAGAACATGTCTGAAATGTTTACAGAGGAAAAGTGTGGTATAAAACTTTCCACTAGGGCAGGGGTGGGCAATCTTCCCCACAAAGGCCCGGCATGTACACATGTTTTTGGGATAACCTGTAGGTCAGCTGTTCAAACCCAGGTGTGAGGACAATCAGTCCTCTAATTAGTGACCTTATTAGGGAGTTGCAGGAAAAACCTGCATACACACCGGCCCTTTGCGGATAAGATTGCCCTCCCCTGCACTAGGGCCTTAAAGGTATAGGCATTTGCTGTTTAACATTCGGTACATCAGTTCAGTTCGCACAATGAAACAAATGAATAGATTTATTGACATGGGTGGAGCCTAAATTCACAAGGAAAACATTATGCTAACCGCAGCTGCGAGTTGGTTGTAGTCAGTTATTGGCAGTAAATTACATGAACACTGGACAGAGAGAAGTTAAGACCAGAACTGTTTTTATATTTAGATTTTTCAGTTTTTACATATTTATTTTTACAATTTCACACTGTTCCACTGCATTTGAAACTAGTGCGGTGCTGAGCTTCCACCCACCACACAACTGGCCGCGGGTTCTCACCCCCGAGGTGCTGCGTCGCATGGTGGCTGCAGCAACGCGCTGCATCAGCGCATGCTGCTGACCTCACTCTCTATTTTTTACAATGTGCAAAAAAGCATCTCTAACGTTTCGTTATTCAGAAACGTCGGCAGATGCATTGCCTGTGGTTTATGACCGTTACTAATTGTTTGTGTTTGCAGTTGTGATAATAAATAATTTAAAAAGCAAATTGTATTCCCTGCCATACCAAAATTGCATCCAACCATAAACCCAAAACAGACATTTCTACTGAACCATGAATTTTGCATATTATGACACCTCTGCCCCTCCACCCCGAACAAGCTAGCAGTCATTTGTCATTATCCTCATTCTCGCTATATTTTGTTCATTATAATAAAGAACATTTGGGTTGACAAAGTAATAGTTTTAATAATCTGACACTCTGGACGTTGTGTGTGTTTTTTTTTCCCTTTAGCAGCCTAAAAACGCCAACTTTGATTTGAGGCAATGATTTTTGTCATTGATTTGAGGCACCCTGCATGCCATAGCCCCAGTGATGAATAATCACTATATTCTGACTGCTCTAAAACAGAAGGATTCAAATTTTACAAGTGTCGTCATAATCAGTGTCATCGCTTGTGAGAATGGGCCATTCTCTGGACTGAACCTGTTAATGGAAAAACTCATGGATAGAGGCATATTGACACATTTTGGGAGGCTCCCCCAATCTAACAACCCTAGCTACCACTGCGTCACCCCCTAACACGGTCACCTAGCAACCAGCCTTCATTGCTCATCTGCAATATTTCTGCCTGTGTTCTTCACTAGCTGATGGCTTTCAATGAATGGAGTTTTTTGCAGGTGGTACTAACAAACCCAAAACAGCAAACACATACTTAAACACACTGAATGTGTGACAGTCTAAAGATGTGAGATGTATTAATAGTTTTGGAAATGTTACTTATGTATTAATACAAGAACTCAAACTCAAGAACTCAACTGTGAAGCACCGACTGAATATAAGCAGATGTTTGTATTGGACATGTGTGCTTTTCTGTTCCAGGAGATCTGATTTTCCTGGGGTTACTCAGACAAGAGCAGCAATGCCCATCCCTGATATTGGAAGGAGGACATGTTTTTATTTATTTATTTATTTATTTATTAAATCACTGGAAATCAGAATTGTAACTGAAATTAAAATTCGATTAAAGTGCCTAGTCCTAGT